AAAAAAAAAAAAAAAAAAAAAAAAAAAAAAATTTCGTCACTAAGTTTTCCCATCTCGTCATTCAATGATTCATATTTTAAGACTGACTAAAGGTGTTACATATTTCAGAAAGGCTTTATATTCCAACTATTTATTCAAGATCCTTAAACTCAGTCTTGGAATTGTCCAGATTCATTTTTTGTCACTACATTTTAGTCAGTGTATTCTTTCGATAGGTTTAGGTTTATTTTGTTTTACAGTATATCAACCTCAATGGGTTATTTAATGCCAAGATTTTTAGGATAAGTTTATGTGACCAGGATATGTATTCCTTGCAAGAAATCAGTTTGTAGATCAGGTTTCATTGAAGTATTTTTGTAAAGAGGGTTTTTGTTGAGTCAAGTGTATTGCTGGAAATATTTTTTTTTTTCAAAAATGTATTGCTTGTATTTTTACTATAAAAATCTATTTTTATACTTTCATAGTGTTTTGACTCCAGTTTGGTGGTAAACTATTTGCCTATAGCTAGGACCCTAATAGATGGTACACCCCAGGTGAGGGTGGACCTGGGAACAACAGCAATTAAGAGGTGGTTCCACACTCCTCAGAACCTCCCAATCAGATGCCTTGCTGTTGGACGTAGTTTATTGTCATACCCAGGACAGTGTCATTTGGAATTATGTAATTTATCCAGTAGTAGAAGCAGGTTTTCTATTGCCAATAATTCTGGATTGAGATTTAATGGAGATTCTTGGAGGTAGCATCAATCTTTCCTTTTTCTTTTGGCTTCTACTTACACTAAAGATTGTATAATTGAAGACAGAGAATTCAACATAATAAGTTAAACAACCAAGAGTATCACCCTCCCACCTGATCCCACCCATGACAACTGGAAAATTTATTTTACTATGTAGCTGGATATTTTTCCTAATTATTTTGGTGGGAGTTAGAAAAGAGAACCTTGACCTTCCTGGTGTCTAATTTATTGTCAGAGGGGGGTGCTTAATGTGGAGAGATCTCTTGAATAGGCTGATATTCACCAGGTTCGTTTATCACCTGTGGTTAATGCTTATCCCTGGTCTTTTAAACAGGAGATTGGGTTTCTGGTTCTTTCTAAAGTCTGCTTCAGTTCTGTACTCTTAACACTTGTCCTTTCTTACACTAATACAACCCTCTACCTTAAGTGGCCCTTGGGCCTTGTATTGGGTGAACATTAGTATAAGAAAAAAAAAACAAAAAAAAAACACACACTAAACTACTTGTTTTTTTTTTTTCATTCAAGGTGTTTTAAAGGATTTTATGTGTGAGAGAATATGAGGAAAAGAAAAACATTATTAAAGAGAGAGAACACTAAAAGAACAGGAAGAAGATAATTATTGACATTGCATTTAAATTTTTATCTATCCTCATAATCTGTACATACAATATATATACACGAGTATAGTGTGAGCTTTTATGATCAATTTTTTTTTTTTTTTATGTAAAAAAAAAAAAAAAAATGATGGTTCCACTGTATACAGGTAATTTTTTTGAAGAGGTTAAAAATCCTGCATTTTTGATGACCAGTTGTACTATATAAAGTTAAATTTTTTCTGGTGGGGTTAAAATTCAGGGGTCACACTATAGATGAAGTCAGCTTATACACAAATACAAGGAAACCAAAAAAGTTCTGTCCGTTTTTAAAGGAAAAAAAGAAAACGCTTCACAGTATGTGTAACTTATATTTAGTCTTCAAAGTAATTGCCATCGGCATCCAGCACCTTCTGCCAACGTGTCTCCAGCTGTTCAATGCCCTTGCAGTAGAACTTGGGGGGTTTTGACGTAAAGAAGTCCGTGAGGGCTTTGCGCAAGTCTGCTTCATTGGTGAAGGATTTCCCACAAAGATGATTATCCAGGAAGAGGTGGAATCGGATGGGTAAGGTCAGGTGAATGGTGGATGGCAAAGTCTCCCACCCAAGTTGTTGTATGGTATCCCTGGCCACTCACGTGACATGCGGCCTGGCATTGTCATGAAGGAAAAGCACACCTTTGCGATTCACCAGTGCTGGCTCCTTCTGCCGCAATGCCTGTTGCACATGTTTCAATTGCTGCGAGTATAGGTCTCCAGTGACCGTTTGGCCCGTTGGTAACAGTTCATAATGAACCACTTGATGACCTGTCCACCAAAAAACAAAGCATAATCTTGCGTGGGTGCATAGGTGGCCTTGCGGTGTGAGGGACAGCATCCTGAGGAGACAACCAATGTCTGGAATGCTTGGTAGTTTCGAACAGAACTCACTTTTCATCACTGGTAAGCACTCGATTGAATAACAATGCGGTACAGTGGCGAGAAAGCAGCAATACGCAGGCTGCCACTCGTTGTCCCTTGTGGACCTCCAACAGCTTTTGCGGAACCCACTTGCTCAGTTTGTACATCTTACCTAAGCTGGTACAGGTGAAGTCTAACTGTTTCATCGGAAACATTGAACTGACTTGTAAGTTCAACACACGTTAGACTACTGTCCTCTTCAATGGCCGCCTTCAGGACTGTCATCCAAGACCTGTGGTCGTCCACTGCGAGGCTCATCATGGAGAGACAAATCTCCCAACTTGAATTTTCGAAACCAACGCCTTGCAGTACATTCATCCACAGCACTATCCCCAGACGCTTGACATATGCGGCAACTTGATGCAGCTGCTGATAAGCCTACTTTGAAATCATAAAGCAAACAGCCCTGAACAAGATCTCTAGACACTTCCATCCTTCTCACAGCTGTCTGGCTTATAACTGATGGGCAGGCACAGTGCGCGTGTTTTTTATAATGTCTGATGTTCCTACTTCCGGCTGTCCGAATTTGAAAACAATTGCTACACGCATTTCGTATATATTTCAACTTCATTCAAAAAAAAAACATACAGAACTTTTTTGGTTACCTTGTATATATGGTACTCCTTCCTCTCATATACATACAACTTCATTCAATAACCCTCTACCTTGAGTAGCTCTGGAGCCTTGTATAGGATGAACATTTAAATAAAAAATGTATTTTGTGTCATTGATAAAGATTTATTGGAGTACTTGTGTTTTGTTGTGCTGGTTGGAGTTATTATTGGACAAATGTCAAGTTAACTGGCATGATAAAGTAGTGATTGTGAAATCAATGTATGTGTTTGAATTGTCGTTATTGTTATTATTAGAGAGACATTCTTCAAATCGGCAAGCAAATTCATGGAAAGCAGTTTAATGAAGCATTGATTTTTTTGTATCATCATGGGGGCAATCATGTCAACTACCAGGTCAAAGGTTAACTATGTTGTTCCAGGATTTTTTGTTTTTATTGTCTTACAGGTGAATCTCAGAAAATTAAAATATCGTAGAAGAGTCCAATATTTTTTGTCAGTTATTTCAGAAAGTGAGAAATTTAAATATTCTAGACTCATATATATATTTTAATCTTTTCATCCCAAAGGTGGCAACAAAACCACCAACATGCAGGCAGTTACTGAGTGTGAGAGAATAAAAAAAAAAAAAAAAAAAACACTATTAAGGAGTGATAACAATAAAAGAACATAAATTAAGGAAACAGGAAATAACAATTGAGATTGCATTTAAGTTTTTGAAGATCAATGTCGCCTTGAAAGCAAGAAGCCAGAAAAGAGTTCCATGAGTGAAAAGCATGATAGAAGAAAGTGTTAGCATAGAACTTACATTTACATCTAACCATTTCAACCTTAAAACGATGAGTTTTACCAGGAGTTTAGCAGTATGTTTAACTTCATAAAGTCTAGGTACCAAAGAGGAAGGCTCCTCAGAAGAATTACCATTAAAATATTTATAGAAAAGTCACAAGGAAGGTATGCTGCAGTGGTGAGGAAAGTGACTGAAACTGGGATGCCAGGTCATCACCAATATTATTGCAGATCCTTTGTATTTTATCAAAAACTTCTAAATACATAGAACCAAACAAAATATGACAGCAATATATTTTGTTGGATTTATTCTGTATGTGTTAGACAAAAAAAAAAAAAATACTTTGAATAAGTCATTGAAATTTGAGAATACAGACAAACCTCTCATCAACAGAGTAATAGGAGCAAGGGGTGGTCTGTTAAAGCAAACTGTCTGTAGATGGGAAGGGATTATTTTTGAGTTATAAAACCACTATAGTAACTACCAGTGGTTATGATTATAATGTAAATACTATACTATAAACATGTATATATGGCATACATAAATATTTACTGTATTGTATATATACTGTATAAATAATAGATTTCTCACAGCTACTTTCTCATGTACAAACTAATGTATCATATCTTACTGTACACCCATCTTTATTTACAATTGAAAGGTCTGCCACCACCACCACCAAGCAGTCACTTAGAGAACTAATACGACTTGTTCTGCTAAGCCCACAAATTTTGAAATAAATCACTGATGATTTAGAAGTTTTTTTCTGCATATTTTTTTTATTTATTTTGCCTGCAGATTTTGTCCATTGTATCTGAAGTCTGTTGAGGGGGGGGTCTGTAGATGAGAAGTTTGTTTGTACTTAATTTTAGAACTTCAACTTCTAGAAATGTTAGTCTGCATAAACTAAAATGTAATGATTACAACAAGCATGAGGACACTAGTCTAATTTATCAAATAATGATGATGAAGCTTCATATAAGAACTTTAGATGATAGTGTAGAAAGCTTGAGAGTACACCAACAGAAAACTAATGATCAAAATAATAAAGGTAAAGATATTCGTCCAAATAAGTTTTTATTTACTTACCCATTTGAATCATTTAAGGTTTTCACAAAATAATAAATATACTTTTATTTTCAGAATAAGAAAATGGCTCCTTTTGTGCTTGGGTTCATATATTTTACATTTGCTTTTGAAGGCGTAGAGAATCAATGACATTGGATAAGAATAATTATCTCAATATGACAAAACCAAATATTAGATTCATGAGGACAACAGTCTTCATGTAAATAGGATAACTAAAATTAAATATTAGTTTAGAAATGACACATACAAAAGGACAACTTACTTCAGAGGTTCCAGAGATTTGTGACTAGACCGGACTTCCTCAGGATAGATATTTTGCCCCAAAAGATTTGACAGCTGAAAAATTTTTTTAAATATTTTAAAAATTAGAAAAATTTCATACCCACAGAATTATTAGGTTGAGTCATAATTTTAATAATGAATATGTCGTCCTAAATACTAATCATATATGGCAGTCAAGAATAAATTTGGTATACACAAACATATCTTAGTTTTTGCACAAAAGTGGCAGCGTATACAGTGGATTAAAGGAAAAGTGTTCTCCATGACAAATGCCAGATGCCACAAGAATAAGAAATTTTGGAACTCATTTCCTCTGTTCTACCCACATCTGCCGTATTCACTTGACTTTGCACCATCCAATTATTATCTTTTTTTGATTGCTGCAAGATAGGGAAAATTTTCTCTAATGAAAACCAGATTCAAGAGATCATCAAAAGTTACTGAAGAGCTGCCCGATAAGTGACAAGTCATTGCAAATAATGGCGAATATAGAATTGAATGAAATGTAGTTGTACTTTAATTTTTGAAGAACAAAGTTGATGAACAAAAAACATGAATTATTTATGACTCAACCTAACAGAATGAAAAGTGCAGATAATGTAATGGTTAACAGAATCAACAAAAAGAGTTCAAATTTCAAGAGATAATTTCAAATTTGAAGAGATAATTTATACACCCTATCCACAATCTGTTTATGATGGAAATAAATTCAACAGCAAAATTTAAAGAAATGAAATCTTAAACAAAAGGAAAAGACCATGTTAAGTTTAGTATAAGCTAGTTAAAGTAGGGGCTACCATAGTTGAACAAACAAGAAATATTTAGCAGTGTATAAAGACTCAATCCTAATTGTACTTCAAGGGATAAAAATGTGGACGGGGACAAAATCAAGCATAATCTCTAGTCTTAAGCAATCTATATTGATAAATAGTTAATTGGCTGTTACAGTGTTAGTTTACCAAAACCCACCAATATAGTCGACCATAGTCCGGATCGTCAAGTCAGTGTGAATGATTCTTTCCTTAGTTGCATAATATGTGCTTCACTGGAGCTACATACCATTTTCAATTCAGAGTTTTCCTTCTGCTAGACCGGTTGCCACCCAAGGCTATACAATCCAGTCTGTCTTATTTACCCATAGCTTAGAAGAGTACCTTTCCCAAGAGTATTAGTCTGTAAGTGAATATAATGAACTCAACTGGAATTCAACCTCAGCTCTCCGATTCCCCAATTGGAACTGCAACTTATTACTACCCATGCCTCCAATATGGTAAAACCACTAAAAGAAGCATGTCCAAAGAATACCTAGCACATGACAACCAAGATAAGGACTTGTATTTCATCAACACAAGCAGAGTTACCTGGCGGAAAAAGTCTGATGATGAAAAACCCAATACTTTTCATTAAAAGTAGAAAAACATCACAGGTGCTGTAAGGTTGGATGTGCAGGTGGTGTAATGGATTATATCTACCTTGGTTCTAATTCCAGTCATGTTAGTTATATTCACTTATGCACAAATACCTTTATGAAGCCATCGCTTCTCCCCTAGTTATAGGTTAATTAGTAAGACTTGTATCAGTAAATCATTATCTCCCTAAAAAAAATTCTTACAATCTAAAAATATTTTCTGGCTTTAAATAAGCTGCTAAGGGTTGATAAGCCATAAAAAATAAATCAATCAAACCTCCTCTTGCATTCATATCATGTTATTCAGTAACACTCTACCTTGATGATTCTTGAAACATATTATTGTGGAGTAGCTGAACACCCTGACAAGATGGACTACTCTAAGACTATTTAAACAGCACTCTCTCTTACTGAGAGAGAGAGAGAGAGAGAGAGTGGACTTAACGACTAACTGTTTATTACATTAGTCTGTATTTTCAACTGTGTACTATATTATTCTCCAGATTAAACTACTTACTTTCTATATGTATGTCAACCTTTTCTATTTACGACAACACATATGTTGAGTAAATTTTAGCATATAAAAAAAATTATTGATCTTTGTTGTGGGCTCTTGTACCATAAAGAAGAAAGCAGATACCAATATTTTCATAACATATTTAACATCTGAACATATTTAACATCTGAACCACTGTAACAAATATTAACAATTAAATTCAACTGACAAGGTTTGTAATTTTTTTTTATTGTATTTCTCCAATGTTCAAATAAGTTGTTGCACATCTGGGTTGAAATTATGATTATTGCTTTGTTTTTGCTTGGGTTTTTCACTCATCTCAATTATTATCAACAACTAAATATTGTCAGATTATATCAAAGGTTTTTAGACTTATGATATTTTTTTGGAATGCTCTATTTAAATTTGAAATACACATGTATCATATAAGTGGGGTCATATGTAGAACAGTTGTACAGTGAGTGACAATACTTAAAAACAGGGACATGGACAATTTTTCCAAAATTTTCATCCAGATGTGCAACAACTTGTTCAAAAATTGGAAAACTACAATAAAAAAAGTAAACAAACCTTGTTGGTTGAATTTAATAAAACTTGTCTGATTGAATTCTTAATGCCTAAATATATGAAATGAGTATATATACTAATAAATATACATTTTTTCCCCTCTCAATGGTAGCACAACTCTAAGTTTCATGCACAAGAGGTTGAGCATGAAACTGAGTCATGCTATTGGTGAGGAAAAAAAAAGATGCATATTTATTAATATATAGTTTATAGCTCTGTTATATTGCATTGAACACTATTTTATTAATACCAGCACTCAATGTGTAGTGTTATATATATATATATATATTATATATATATATACACACACACACACACAAGAGTAAACAAACAGTAAAATATTTGTTAAAATTGTATGCATCAAAAGTGCTCAATATCAAGTTGGAAGAGTTGTTTAATATTTTAAAAGGATATGAATGCTGACCAGAACACTACCATGGTTTCAACCACCAAGGTCTCATCAGGTGGTTTGTTCATCGAATCAACCAAATGAAGCTCAACAACTTAAGTACTATTGTAATACTGGATAATAAAAGAAAAAATGATTCCATCAGAAAAAAACCTGCATAGAATATTTAAAGACCTGAATTTTAATATTACAGTAGAAATCAAGAAGAAAGTTGTCCAGTTTTCGGACCCAGAATTAAACCTATCAATCAAAACTATCTCACCTTTTATGAAACCGAATACAACGCCAAGATATATCGATACGGCATCTAACCACTCATCAAATATAATTAAACAAATCCCATTAGGAGTACAATGCAGACAGTCAAAATATTTCTTCAAATGAAGATATATTCAATGAAAAAAAAGTATGCGTATCTGTCTTAAGATAAGAGGTGCATAATGCTAAGAAGAAAGAAATCCAAGAAATGATAATATTAAACAAAAAGAAAGAGGAACATAATCTGGTTAAATCCACTTTTTAACATACAAGTAAAAACAAACATAGAAAGGATGTTTTTTAATCTACTAGATAAGCAGTTCCCTAATATGTCCGAACTGGATAAGTTATTTAACCAAAATACAGTCAAATTGAGCTATAGTTGCACTAGCAATATAGGCAACATTATAAAAAGAATGAACAGTAAAAATTTAAAACTCAAAGGTGACATGAAAGGTGAAAATGGATTATGTTGTATGGAACAGGTTGTCTATTGTGCTGAAGTGGAAAGTGAAAATAGTAGTACAAAAAATACATCGGTTGCACTGAGGGCCAGTCCAAGAAGAGGTGGTATAATCATACCTCATCTTTTAGAATCCCGGAATGTAGGTTCAATACAAAACTGGCAAGCTACTAATAGAACTTTAGGGAGAAGCATAAAAGTCCAGCCATTAAATGGAGTGTCTTACATAATGTAAAGACTAACATAATAATCGTTATATATATATATATATATATATATATATATATATATATATATATATATATATATATATATATATATATATTTAGGCAGCATATTTTCATTTATACACGTTTTCATTAAATAATATAGACAAGTGTTGTCTATTTATTTTATGTAAAATTTTTCATAACGTATCTTCTGATAAGTTTAGTAACATTATCATTTATGAAACTAAATTCAATTTTTATCCATTTTTTAATAAAATCCTTATTTCATTCTCAAGCCATTATCAAAGATGTGAAATCATGAGATATCAAACAATATATGGACGCTTCTAGCGTCTTATATCTGTCATTGTTGTTGTTTGTTTAGTGATCCACTATGTAAACATAACAATGACAGACTATATAATCACTGTCGTGTCCATATATTGTTTGATATGTTTGTATTTACATCTTTGATAATGGCTTGAGTTTGCTTTTAGATTTTATTAAAAAATAATGGATAAATATTGTGAATTTCTTTTTTTCGGTAAATGATAATGTTACCAAACTTATCAGAAGATATAAAAAATTTTACATAAAAATAAATAGACAACACTTGTCTATATTATTTAATGAAACGTGTATAAAAATATATATATATATATATATACACACACACACCAATATGTGTATATATTTACCAATATGTGTAAGCTATGCCAATAAGAGAAACTGTTTTTAGCAGTGTATAAAGATAGCACTGAATTATTGAAAAGGGGGGGGTCAGAGATCATGACAAAGTGTAGACAAGAAATTCAGTTTGGGGTTATTTGAACCCAGATAAAGTTGGGATTTTTTTTCTTCACTACAACTCTCTCTCTCCACTTCTAGTTTTGAATGAATGTACTTAAGTTGTTGAGGTTGATTTGGTGAACAAACCACCTGATGATACCTTAGTGGTTGAAACCACAGTACTGTTCTGGTCAAAATTCATATCCTTTTAAAATGTGTGTGTGTACATATATATATATATATATATATATATATATAGTAATGACTGATAAGATAAAATCTATCTAGTGACACATTTTGTTTTAGGAAAAAACTTCTTCAGAGAAAGTAACAGCTTTATCAATGCAATCAATTTTATATATAAAAAGAGGGAAAAAATATGAGGAAAGAAATTTCTAATTTACAAGCATTGAAGATTCCATTTGTGCCTACTTTTAGAATTGGAAGATTGTGTTACACCAAGCTCCCAAATTGGTAGGACCTTATTTCTTTGAAAAATCAGCATTCCAAATTTTGGCTTCTACACTGGACTTCTAATTTATAAAATAGAACTGTAAATAAATAAAAATTAAATCTCTTTTAAGAAAAAAATTGAAAATAAATTCAAAAATTTTAAAATCAGGTCTCCTGAAGAATGGATGTAAAAGTTGGAGTTGAGACACAATAAGTGCACATTTAATTTTATTCATTGCTATTAATGTAATATCTCTTGATATCAAGCACTTTAATTACAAAGACTGCTTGCCTTAAAGACGTTATCTTTCAGAAATAGGCTGGTCAACCATGGGTGGGGAAGGACACAATCTTGTTAATGTTAAATATATGTGTATTTGTGTGTGAGTTTAGGCAAGTTTTTTTTTAATTAAAATACAAACATGGATAGATTTTTTTTTTTTTTTTTTTTTTAATTCTTTCATGAACATTTCTAATTTACATACAAGATAGGTTTATAGAAATTGAATATAAATATTGTCTAGATGTTAGTGTCAAACATACTTTTAGTCATCTTCAAATTGTGTAGATGAAACCTTTCTCATATTTATTGAGATATTTCTTTTTAAGACATGTCTTAAGCATTAGACTCACTTTAAGACTTGTCATAGCCATCCTAGTTGTTTGATAATCACAAATTATAATAGCCATGTAAAGTTTAAAAATGACCAGTTGTCTGTCTGAAAGCACCCTTAACATTTGAACAAAATCACTATTCATTCGGTTCAAACACAGACTTGCTTGTAAATAAATTATCCCAAAAAAGTTTTTAAAAAGTATAAATAAAAATATCTTTATTTTAAAAAAAAGACATTTTTGAATCATTTCACCCCAAGCAAAGAAATAATGCCACTAAGATGCAAGGGGCTACTGGGAGTGAATGAAAAAGGAATTGGAAACCTAATCCTAAAGAGGAAAAAAGAGATAAACCTCTACTCCTGTTCAAATGACTGGAGAGGAGTATGAACTGGATGATAGGTGAACCTATCTACTCCTATTGAGAACAGAAAAGATAATTCAATATTAAATAAAAAGTCAGTTTTAGGTGGAGACATTAGAAGTATAGAGTTGAAGTAGAAGGAACCTGAAAACCAATCCTAAAGAGGAAACAAGGAATAAATCTCTGCTCCCGTTCAAAAGACCAGGGAGGGGTGTGAACTTGACAATAGACAAACCTATCTACTCCTATTATGTATCAATATACATCTGTCTTCCTTGAAGAAATATTGTTTTATGGTTAAATTCAGTAATCAAAATGTTTTTCAGTTTCAGTCCAAGTAAACTTGGTACAATTAATGGATGCTACCCTGCTACATATTGGACTGGCTTTTAGAGATTGTGTCTCCTTGTCATTGAGACAGTGATGTTCCTCCACCAAGCAGATACAAGATGTGATTTGAAACAATGGCCTGTCATCATATGTCACACCATCTTTTTATCACTTCCCCATATTTCAAAAGGTAGGGACTTCTTTTTGGTCAGGGTTTACTGCCCAATCATTCAGAATGATAAGTGTTCCAAACAGTTACCCATCTAAGTACTGATCAGGCTCACTGCTTAACTTAGATGACTGAACAAGAACAGTGATTCAAGCATCATTTAACTGTAAATGCACATATATTAATAATTACTTGAGCAGTAACAGTATAGAAGTGTGGTTTGACTATGTACTTATTTTATTATCCATTCTCTTCTTCATCAATCAAGATGGCACACTATCTGCAAAGAGACATTAAAATATCTGTTGATGTGACAGACTACAACCTTTGAACCCTAGGCACTGGTGCTACAGAATCACAAACCAAGAACTCTACCAAATAAAGAGAAACTACATCACTTGAGGACATTCAACAATGGCAACAACTTAAATGGATAGCACATGTAACTTGAAGAGAAAATGATATAATTAAGATGCTGATATTCCATATTACTTCAAACAAAAGGTTAG